TGGACAGTGTTCTCGAAGCTACCAGCATGAGTTTGACCAAACTGTGGGAGGCAGTGGAAGACAGGAGGGCCTGGCGTGCTCTGGTCCATGGGGTCACGAAGAGTCGGACATGACTAAACGACTAAACAACAACAACCATGGATCACTTCACATTTTTGTGGTGCCAGCAGAAGAAATGTGGGCTGCAAAAGTTGATGTACCGGTACAGTATTTGCTGGGGAATCTCCCCCCACCAGTGTGTTGTTCTTTGGGAGGCAAATTGATGAGAAAGATTTCTGCTTGAGTCAGTGCTAATCACAGAAAACAGTCCTCAGCTTGATAATGAATAGTCATTCATTATCCATTCATTAGCCAGTGTGGTGTAGCGGTCAAGAGCGGTAGTCACGTAATCTGGGGAACCGGGTTCGCGTCTCCGCTCCTCCACATGCAGCTGCTGGGTGACCTTGGGCCAGTCACGCTTCTTTGAAGTCTCTCAGCCCCACTCACCTCACAGAGTGTTTGTTGTGGGGGAGGAAGGGAAAGGAGAATGTTAGCCGCTTTGAGACTCCTTAAAGGGAGTGAAAGGCGGGATATCAAATCCAAACTCCTCTTCTTCTTCTAGCTTGGTATTGAGCAGATGCGTATACTAAAAGAGTACAGTAAAAAATAATAATTTTCCGGAGTAATTACTGAGTTGGAAATGAAACAGGTTTATTCCTGGCGCTGTAAGAGGGACAGATTTCCTTTGTATCAGCTAGGTGCTGGATCAATGACTATAGGTCAGAAGTCTGAGCTAGAGGGGTGGAGTCGCTTACATTCTTAGTGACTTATCTATTCACATTTATTTGCTTTATAGGATTTGCAAATTGTTTAGACCCCTGTTTTGGCTTCAAGTGGTATGTAAATAAGTAAATAATGCAATATGACATCAAACTTCAGCTGTTGTGACATGTCTTCAGCTGCTGTGTTGGAAAGACTTACACGGTTCTCTAGACTTTCCTAACACAGCATCCACAGTCTTGCCGTGCACAGTGGCTGGGGTGGAAGGGGAGGGATTAAGATTCCTGCACCAGCCTCTTCTCCAATGTACTTGGACCGACCAGAAGAAGGGAGACGAAATAGAGATTTTAGCCAGATGCCTCATAGCCCTCCTTGTACACAGCTTCTTATCTACAAGATATAACACAGAGAATCTGCACTCTGGCCTTCAGCACATTACAGCTGAACTCTTGAACTCAGTGACATTGAATAGTAATTTGTAAGATTGCATATATCTCTCCAAGACTGATTTGAGACTGCACAGATAAACTTTGGGGAGTGAAGAATAGCTCAGTGGCAGAGGTCCCAAATTCAATCCCTGGCTCTTCAAGGTGTGTTAGCAGGTTTAGTGGGGTGCAGCTGCTGCTGCTGCTGCACGAGAATGGCTGCTTTTCATAGTAGACAACACTAGGTCTATGAACAAAGCAGTCAGACCTTGAGGAAGGCAACGTCTAATGAATTCATATATAATTTGAATATGGGCCTTGGGCCCAATTTGATAGAAGACCCATAGGGATAGGCATTGTGTGGGCTTTGGTTTTTGTCTTTTCTACAGATGGAGTAGCATCACTGAATTGTGGCAAATTTTCTCATATATTTTAGTAGATGTCAGTAAATCCAACTGGGGTTGGATTATTATTATTTATTAAAGAAATCACCTTTCTTCTTAGTGGATAATGTACTTGCTTGTTCTTGCATCTTCTTCAGTCATCTGTTGAATTGTTCAGGAAAGAAAAAGTAGACGAGACTGGAATTTTAATGTACAAATCAAGCAGTGCCAAAAATAATCTTTTAAAAATCCTTTAAAATCATCAAAAAGCCAAATAGAGTACAATACTTAACTTTAGTCCTCTGTAGCACATCATATTATACAGGGGTGTATTTTACCACATATATTTGTCATCTGCTTACTCAGTCCTGAACTAACTTACTATTTTGATGCTCTAAGTCTGATAGAAATCCACACTTCTAAAAAATCTGGAAGGGTGTGAAGGGTTGTAGGAGGAGAGGAGGGGGATGGAGTTTTTTCACCTTAGTATTTATTTTCTAAACTAGAAAAAAAAAAAGTATAATTTCCATGAATAATGCCTAATCCAATTTCTTAATGGATCAGTGTATTTTGTTAATGTCATGTATGTGACTATGCAAAAGGCAACAATATTTTAAGTGCATTTACATTGTCACAGATGTTTGTTAGCAATCTTGTGACAATACAAGATTTCATTATCTTATGCAACCAGCAGAAAAAATTACTGAACACTGAAATAACAAATGCGTTTTATTAAGTTTTCAAAGAATGTTTGTTTTTAAAGGAATATCAGACAAATTTCATATATGCTTGAAGAATCCGAATCATTTAGCCATTGGCTTTCTGCAAAATATATATATGACTAGATCTGGTTAGTTGTTTTGATTATTTCTAATTGTATTTCCTTATTTATGTCCTTCAGCCATATGAAAATATTAAATCTTATTAAAACAATATACAGGCAATAAGACAAGAAAACTAATTCAGCAGCAGCTTTGCAGATAATAATGTAAAGCAACACAGCCATTACAATAAGGGGGAGGGGAGAGAGAAGAAGAACACTTATACTATGCCATCTTCACTTGTCATCTAAACTAGAGAAGGGCTGCTTATTCAGTCATCAGTGGGCGGTGGTTGTGGCTTATCGCATTGGGCTCCAAGACCCCTAGAAACAATTCAGGTGGCTGGCAGTTGGGAAATCCTCAGGCTAGCTGCGTGGTGCACTGGGAGTTCCTGCCAGCCACCAATTTGAACTCTGGCCAATCCAGCCAGGCCTGGGGGCAGGACCTGGGAGCGGAGCGGAGTCTAGCAGCCTTCACTCTGGTCTACTCCCATCCCTTAAAAGCCATCTGTGACTGTCTGCTACACCACTTTGGGCTGGGGAGAAAAACCCTCATATCCCACCTTCAGTTAGTTGTTCTTCAGGATTCTGATATGCTAACCTTTATTCCCTCTCTAGGGCTCTGCATTCATGGGCTTTGCTGTGGTTTTCTAATGGTTGCCGTGTTTGGAGCTGGGAAGGAATTTTATGCAAACAGATTGGCCCCATTTGCAGGCTGTGTCTTCCCTGTATCAGTAGTCACAACTTTGGCGGTTGTGTCTTAAAGAAAGAGAAGGTACTCATGTATTGAAAAAGTGTTGTGGGTGCCAGCAGAAAATGAGTGCCAGAAGGAAGGAAAGAAGGGCGTTGGTTCTTCGTACCATTGAGTACAAAAATAGCTGTAATTATAAGTAAATCATATTTATAATATCCCACATGTTGTGGGTTAATGACAGCCTTCCAAATTTGTGTAAACGGGGAAAGTCACAAAAAGTAAATGTTACATATTATAGCTGTTTGATTTCTTGTTAATGTTCAGTTAATTGATCATCACTGATATGTTGTGCAATTTGATTTCCCTCTAAAGTTTATATATATACATTCCACATTTCTAGCTGTGATTTAGGTAAAAATATGTAGGTTTGTTTGTTTGCTTTGGAAGGCATCCTAAATCAAAGGAGTAAAGATTTAAAATAAAAACAAGGGCAACCTGTAACGTGATGATCTTTTATAGGCATTAGATTTGCTGTTATTTATATGTTTATCCCTCACTTTTCTTTTTAATTGAAAATTGCACAACAATGTGGCGCAAGTCTATTCTTTTAGAGCTGTAGACCATGGCTTTTGCATGGCTGTGACAGCTCTGAGAAATGATTAAATCCAAGGGCACTGAAATAGCAGGATGAGACAATAGGATTATAGAAAAGTCACCTGTTGACGCCCGAAGTCAAGAAAAACAAATATCACTGAAATATGAAATACAAGTTTAATCCTGCATCACAGGGGAGGCAGAAGGATTGTATTTAGATTTTCAAGAGGTCAAGCCTGAAAGATCTTTTCCTCCTCTCTGATGTAGTAGGAAAAGTTACCCAACCCTATGGGCATGTGTCAAATCTGAGGGAAATGTAAGTAAAGCCTTGCTTTACCCATGGCTCTAATGAATAATACTGTTGCAGAGCTCACTTTTCCATAATTCAAGGTCACAACATGGCACCCAAGAACTTTTCCAATATCATATTGATAAGGTCTCAACCAATTAAACAGCATCAATTAAAATTTGAAATCCATCAGTCATATACTGGCAATGAAATGACAGCCCACTCATTAACTTCTTGGAGCATTCTGTAACAAAGCAGTATTTTCTTCAAAGCCAGCAAAGATGCATATTTAGATACACATCTGATGACACATCTCTTTACCCTGGCTTTTGATATTATTTTATTATTTATTATTATGATATCTGAGACAAGTGCTTTCAGGGCCCACACTTTTCCTTTGATTGTGGTCTTTTATGTATTTTAAATTGTTATAACCAACCCTGAGACCTGTTGGTGAATGGTAGGTTGTGGTTGTTGTTTATGATCAATCATATGGAGGCTGAATTGCTGAATTCTGTAGCCCTGAAGCAGCTATGGAAAGGACTCTGCTCGGGTCCTATAGTTGTTTTTATTGTGCTAAACTGCTAAGTTGATAATTATGCTGCTGAAGAACTGGGCAAAGTCAATAATATTGCAAAAACAAGTGTTGCCTTGCTCTTTAGCAGAAAACTTAAGCTCATTGCACTGTGCCCCCACCCACGATGAACTCCTGGGACTAAGCTGTTTGGAATTATATTTTATATTTGATCTGTTGCAATGAGACTATACTTAATAAATCACCAATCTACACCATTAGATTAACTATAATAAATTTGACTGGGGACTAAAAGTTATTATTACCCTGTGTGGGGTTTACTTTTACACAGAAGGAAAGATACCAATTAATTTGCTGACAAAATTAATGTCCAGATTGCAATGAAAGCTGCACTCCTTGGCTATTTAAAACCAGTGAAGTCAATACCTAACTGTGTGTAGAATTAGCTATAGGTAGGTAGCCGTGTTGGTCTGCTGTAGTCGAAACAAAATAAAAAAATTCCTTCCAGTAGCATCTTAGAGACCAACTAAGTTTGTTATTTGTACGAAAGCTCATACCAATAACAAACTTAGTTGGTCTCTAAGGTGCTACTGGAAGGAATTTTTTTGTTGTTTGTAGAATTGTACCAAAAGCTGCAGTCAGTTTTTGAGTACTGTAGAATGTGTCGTTGCATAATGCATGGTGTGTACTTGTGTTTGTAGATAGATAAATCTATAGTTATAAAATTAAGGGAGGATGGGCCTGGGGAGGCCCAAGCCAATTTCCGTTTGGGGTACACGCAAATGATATGTTCTGCTATCAGTTGTTGAGGGTTTTGCCTTTAGGACCATGTTTTGAAACCCATATGCAATGAAGAGGGCCCAGATCTGTGGGACATTTTTGTGTCCCTATGGCCCGTGTGATCTGATACTTATATGCTTGATCAGTAGAGAGATCCTTTATGACATTGTCACTCAGTGACGTAAGATGCTTTCCAATTGAGAGTTTGGTGAATGAAGGATCAGTTTCAAGATCTGCGGGTAGTGTATTGCCAATTTTACCTGTCCACTACTTGTTAGACATGATTTTCCCATCCAGTTCTGTGATCAGGTGTCACAGGGGTAACAGCAGTAGGAAAGCAGTAGGAAAAGATGTGTGACAGCTGAGAGGGGGAAAATGATGCTTCATTTCCATTGTGTATGTATCTTTAACATATGGAGACAGAATAAACTGCCTTCTTTCCTTACTCTTTGTCAGTAGAACTTCCCATGCAAGTTTATTCTCTTATCTCTGGAGGTAATCCTTTTACTAGACTTTAAAATGTCTAGTAATGTCTTGCACTCTCTATAATCCACCTGTTGTAGATCAATACATTTTAATAATCAAGGCCTCTAACATCATTTTAAGCATTAAAAGGCTTAATCAGTGGTTACCACTTACATGTAACAAAGAACATTTAGCAATCTTTGCTTTGTGCTGTTAATAGTGCAGTATATCATTCTGTGATATCTGATATTATGCAAAAATTGTAGACAATGCCTTCTGGATTCTGTTCTTTATTTAAAGTACCTTTGTCACATATCTTATCCATCTACTTTTAGAATCCTAAACAATCATAATCTTTTGAAATCTCTTTACCCGTTTGTTCAACGAAAACAAATGAGACCATCAAAAGCAGCCAGTTAAGCAGATACATGAATATTGCAGTAATGTTCAAGCCATAATCATTTTTCTGATTTTCATTCCGCTCATCTGAGAAAATTGATAATTGCTGCTATTTGTATAAATCCTTCCCATTATGTGTGTTGATATAGTTTCAATAGGACACAGTGCTGCATTTCAGACGTTCTTCATTTTAACCGCTTAACATGAAAATGTGATTCTTAACATATCTTTTTTAAAAAGAAGCAGCATCTGATTATAGGCAGAACCCTGGGAATTTTTAAAATAAATTAGCTAGGACACTGTAGGCTTGATTTAAATCAATATTTCAGAAAACATTTCAGGAAAAAAGCGAGAGCATTGAACCAATAGAAGGCTACTAGTGATAGTATTAACTGCAACTGTTTAGAGTTGGGACAAACTTGAGTTGTTGGATATTTCATAGGCCTATGCCGGTGAAGAATTTAGGTTTCTCTTCATCCCTTGCATTACATAGCATCTGACAAAATGATCCTGTAAACCTAATAAGAAACATAGTGTGACCAACTGCAAGCACTTGGGAATACTGCAGATTATAGAATTTTTATTGCTCACCTACACAATTGTTATTGTTATTTGGCAGCATTTGTTTAGAGGTTTTTAGATGCTTTGTTACAGAATGCAGTATTATTATACATTTTCTTAATTGCTCACCTATCTTGGACTATGTTGAAATGTTCTCTAAAATTGCTGTTGAAATTTTCTTACATTAATTCAGGGGCTTATCATCAGGCAGAATACCTAAGGGATTCATAGAGAGAATCCAGACATGTTTCAATAAGGATCGTAAAAAAATTCCCAGGGACTCTGAATGCTTACAACACAGAAAGCTGAATGCTTACAACACAGAAAGACCATTTGTCCATCTAGCTCTGTGTTGTCTATGCTGACTTGTACCAGCTTCCCCAGGTTTTCAGATAGGAGTCTTTCTCACCTCTTTTAGGAGGTGCTAGGGATTTGAAAAGAGACCTTCTGCAGGCAAAACAGGTGTGCCGCTACTGAGCTATGATCCTTCTCCATTGACACTAGTATTCTCCTAAGCTGAAAATTGACAACAAAAAAATAATAATATGGAATTCCAAGGGAAGTCAAAATAATTTGATAGAATCAAGACTAAAGTAAAACAAACATGTTGTCTGCCTAATAGAACTGAAATCCTTAGAGTTGAAAACAATGACCTACTTATATTTCTGTCTCAAAGGGAAGCTGACTTAAGTCTTGCATAGTCTATTTTTTAAAAAATAGAAAACCTGTACTTCCATCAAAGGTGCTTACTTAGGATCTCTCAACACAATAAAAACTGCATTTGGATCATGAACATATTGTTATAGTCATGAGCTCCTTCTACTTCTGTTGGAAAAATAGTTCTGGTCTTCTGGGATGGACCAGAAGTTAAAACTCTCATTTCTTTATCTCATCCTTCTTATATTAGCTGCTGCAGCTCATGGTGTTACTTTGCTGATGGGACTTGGTCCTTTATGTTCTCTTGTATTGATAGGCCTGTGTTTAGTTACCCAGTGTTTCATTCAGCTACAAAACACTGTAAGGTAATTTTGCTCCCTAATGTTGAAGCTGGGATAGAAGACTAACAGAGAACAGATATTGCTAATTAAGTTTTTGGCTGCCCTCGCTTTGCATTGTTAACAGTTATAAATTAACCAGCTTTTCTAGAATTTGGAGCCCCATGGTAGCAGGGCTAAACCATGTTGTTTTTCTTACTGGAACACTTTAAACTATCATCAGCATTACAGATGGTCTTCAGATAGCAAAAGCCTTTATATAAATCAAAATACTTCACACATGCATTTTGTCATTCAGAAATAAAATACCTGTATAAATCTAGCCCAGACTTCCTCAACCTTGGCCCTCCAGATGTTTTGAGACTACAATTCCCATCATCCCTGACCACTGGTCCTGCTAACTAGAGATCATGGGAGTTGTAGGCCATGAACATCTGGAGAGCTGAGGTTGAGGAAGCCTGATCTATTCTCTCCTCCTCTTCTTCTTCTTCCTCCTCCTCTTGGCTGTGGCATTACTAAATAGTTAGATCCAACTCATTTGGGTAATTATAGGCCAGTAGCTCATATATCATACTTGGGCAAGATAGCTGAGTAGATTGTGACTGTTCAGCTGCAGGCACTTTTGGATGAAATGGATTGTTATTATTTGCCCCAATTTCAGTCCAGTTTCACATTTTGGGACCAAAATGACCTTCAGGATTATCTTTTCCACAGGATAGATGGATAATGTAAACTTACTAATTCTCTAGGGTCTCTGAATAGTTTTCAGTTCCGTGGATTATGGTATCCTTAAGTGCTGCCTGGCAGGGGTAGGAACTGGATAATATTACATTGTGGTAGTTTTGTTTCTGTCAGAAAGCTTGCAGAAGGTGATGCTGAGGAGAAATGTTCTATCCCACAGGAATTTTATTAACAACTTTCTTAGCAGGCGTCTTCTTAATTTGCTTTAGCCATTCTTGGTTTGTTGCCTAGAATTATACATCACAGGGGAAAACTGCTAAACTCTGCCTGTGTATCATTCAACACAATTCCTTTACATTTCACATACTGTTTCCTCTTTGAATTACCTCTGTTGCATTCTGAAATTTCTCCTTCCCTGTCCCAATTGATTTGCTTATGGGAGAGCATTTCATTTCGGCATAATAGCATTAGTTCAGCAACATCTGCTGGCTGCAAAGCCATAGCTATTCCTTTTCACACAAGTGGTTATTGAAAGAAAGACTGGCTTGCAGCAAGGGTGGCTAATCTGTGGCCCTCCATATGTTATTGGGCTACAACTCCAAGCATTCCTGATGGCTGGGACGGATGATAGCTATAATTCATATTCCAAGCTTTGTGAAAGAAGCAAAAATGGTTGCATGTCCAACTTCATGAGATTGCTTGAACCACAAAAAGGGAATATGCAAATCAGCAGCCCTTCTAAGGTGTTCTGTTCCTAAATCAGGTTAGGGTGATCGTTGTCTATAGTCATTCTCACAAATCTATTAGGAATTTGTACACTGCATTTTGGTTTAAATCTTTTGAGCTGGTTGCTGGTTTTGAATTAATTTTAAGGATATTTATTTCATATAAGTCTATATTTTTATAGATATATTCTGTAGCCTAATTTTTTATCCCTTGTTTGTGCAGTCATTAATCACTAAGAATACACAAGCAAGGGGTCAAAATTGAGGCTTCCTAAAGTTGACTGCAACAGTATTGTTAATATAATGCCAATACTTATCTAAAATGTATAGGTATGAGTTTAGCAAAGTATTTAATATTTTGTCTTGGAAAGAGATATTTAAATCACACTCTTCTCTGCAAGTCAGCTAGTTAGTAAATAAATAAATAAGGCAAGCTAGCTTGAGGATAACCTCCTTCTGTCAAATAACTTCAATGAGATAAAGGATGATCTTACCAAAGCAAATGTAAAAGAGAAGCTTGCAACCTATTGATATGCACCCATCCTCCCCCAGAGTAGTCCATCTGCATCCTCCAAAGCAATTATTGTTGTGGTATTTTTCTGCTAAAATGTGAGGAAGGGAAAAGACTATCTGAATCTTCAAAGTGAGTTCAGAAAATCAGAAGCTGTGACACTGCACATTGCTACATAGGTCAGCAGTCAGTCTCCTGTACCCACCAAGAACTAAAGGAATTGTATTCATCAAAAGAAAAGAAGAGGCTGTGAAGATTCCTCTCTCTTTAATCACAGAAATCTGCAACATAAAATTCTTATTTCTCATTGCAAATGCAAGCTTCTAGCATGAGAAAAAGCAAATGCTTTGATGAAAATTATGCCAACCATATAGGACATTTACATAGTGAGCAGACTCAGATGGAATTGGTAAATCCCATGTATAAACAATTAAGAATACTGATTCTTGCCTTAGCCATCATCACTGCTCAGTTCAGTTT